CCCTATATGTAAAATAGTATCCACCACTAAAATAAGACAGTTAGCACAATGGGGCACGTAATTTTAAGAGTTTATGATCCATAGGCCATTGTATGATATCATATCATATGATACCATATGATACAGGATATACACATAAGATACAATCTTATAATTAACCAAATCACTAACCCACCAACCCCTTTTAACCTTCCTATTTGGTAAAGAGAAATATAGAAACAAATCTTTTATATTAAAAGTTGCATATAATAAATCCTATAAATACTATTTTCTACGTTGCATATATATCCCATAAATACTACCCTCTCCCCATAACAGAGCAATTGTATGAAACAAATTTCAACAAAAAGAAGAGAAAAAAATGGGAGAGCAAGCGAAAGCAAATGTGTTAGTCTTCTCATTTCCGATACAAGGACACATAAACCCTCTCCTCCAATTCTCAAAACGTCTACTCTCCAAAAACGTTACCGTCACATTCCTCACCACTTCCTCCACCCACAACTCCATCCTCCGCCGTGCCATCGCCGGCGGAGCCACCGCTCTTCCGCTCTCTTTTGTCCCCATAGATGATGGCTTCGAGGAAGGTCACCCATCCACCGACACATCTCCCGACTACTTCGCCAAGTTCCAAGAAAACGTATCTCGAAGCCTCTCGGAACTTATCTCCTCGATGGAACCAAAACCAAACGCCGTCGTTTACGACTCGTGCCTGCCTTATGTTCTCGACGTTTGCCGGAAACATCCCGGCGTTGCTGCGGCGTCGTTTTTCACTCAGTCCTCTACCGTGAACGCAATCTATATTCATTTCTTGCGTGGAGCGTTTAAGGAGTTTCAAAACGATGTCGTTTTGCCTGCGATGCCTCCGTTGAAGGGTAATGACCTACCGGTGTTTCTGTACGATAACAATCTCTGCCGGCCGTTGTTTGAGCTCATTAGTAGCCAGTTCGTGAATGTTGATGACATTGACTTCTTCTTGGTTAACTCTTTCGACGAACTCGAAGTCGAGGTAATTCTTAACTTTAGAGTTTTGTTGTTTATTTTTCTTCTTAATTATCTGCAAAATGCAATCCACTTAAAAATATTTTGAGGTGATATAATGGTGGATAGTGGATACTAGCCTACTGAATCAATTAGTACTTGATGTGACCCTTATCAAAATTAAAACCAAGCAATAACAATAAATTAAAGTGGCAATTCCAATTGTAGTTAGGCAATTTGTGAAATAATTTATTAGTCCATTATAGTTGTAGCTTTCGGTAAGAGAAAACGGTACCAAATAAACAAAAAATAATGTTTTTGATATTGTTTTTATGATTGATATATTATTACTAAAACGTTAAATCCCATACCGAGAGCCTTAACGTTTTTGGTAAATAATACTAGCAAAAAGAAATATATAAAAAAAAAAACACATCATATTATTTCAACTGACAAAAGGAACATCATTTATCTTCGGGCCGAAAGATATCGATTTGGTGGGGCGATATCCAAGGTGCAGATTATTTGTAGTATATCTAATATCTTATGCAATTGGATGGGGTCTTAGTTAACGTGGCAAATATGTTGCCAGAGAACAACTATAGTCTAAAATAACATAGGTGTCACTACGTTTACCTTTCGATTATTAGCGTACATATTGGCTAGGCATGTGGGATGTGTCCCTTACCAAATCAACTTTTTTCCTGGGCATTAGACATGTTGAGTGACCCAAAAAGCATAGTTAGGCTTAGTAATATTTGGAATTAGTGGATTGGTTCAAATTATTACTATTATCAATATGGGGAAGTTTAGGACAATTGGTCAATAATATTTTTTGTTCGTAGATTAGAAAAGGTTTAATTAGTTAGCTTCTCGTTTTTTTAACTCAAACATCTAAATCTATATAAACATTTTTGAAGTACAAATATGAAATTAATTTTGGAGTTTGCACTTATTTACAATATTTATCTATTAATTAATATTACAATTATTTTTGAAAAAATCTTTTTGAAACTTTGCCTTCCTAATATGGTAACAAATTGATTCTGTTTATAAATTCAATTAATTGCTAATTTTCTAAAATCTCTTTACTTGATTTAAACATTAATATATAATTCTTCATTCACCTTTCTATGATCTTATATTCAATTTATTTTTAATTTTTTAAAAATACATATAATTAATAAAATAATAGATTTTTTATGCATATAATGTGATTCAAATTTTTTAAAACGCACATATATTACTTAATCGATGAAAAAAAAAATGTGTACAATGTCCCACATTGCTTAAAAAATTGGTCAATGGTTCACAGTCATACTATAAAAAAAGCCAAAATGATTCTAAATACAAATGAGCATGAAACTTGATTTATCAGTCTAAAATTAAAAGTGTTATCCAGTTTACTCCGGTTCTTTATTTTATAGAATTAAAACTTTTAAAAAGTTTCAAAATATTATAAATATTTAAACATTATTAAAAAGTCAATATTATAATTATTTATCTTTTTATAAAGTTAAACGTTATAAAATGTTTTAAATATTTATAAAACTAAAACTTTTATGAAATTTCAAATATATTAAATATTTGAACTTTATAAGAATTTAAAAGAAGTTTAAAAATTATAAATATTTGAACTTTATAAAACGTTTAGAGTATTTATAATATTTAAGTTCTATTAAAAGTTTATAATATTTTATCTCTATAAAAGTTAATATATATATATATATATATATTTCTTTTAAATAAAAATATTATTAAAAAGAAAAATAAAAAAATATTATTTAATTTCACGGAACGGGGTTATATGGTGGGACGAGTTTGGATCGATCTTAATAAGGAAATATAATTATATAATCTTAAATACTAAACACACCAAACAATATTAATAAAACAAATATAACTTAAAATTTAAAGTTTTTAGTTTAAAAAATCTATCCGCAATGTACCGCAGGGTAAAATTTGTGTAAAACAAAATTAAATCCAATAAATTATAAATTATTATATAAATTATACTATAAAATACAATTTTACACCGCGGGTTAAATCCTAGTTTCTAGTATATAAATAAAACAAGAGATGTTATCTATATTTTTCTTTTCTTGTCTCTTTATTTCTTCCACTGGTCCCTATTCTTCTAAGGTTCTTGAATTCCTTTATAAGCCTGAAAACATGACAATTAGAAAACGTGACATGTTTGGTTCAAACTAGGGATTATTAGTCCGAAAGCTTTAACGTTAGGTCGGGACGGTTCGTTGACAACCAATTATATATGCACTAATTATGAAGTATACGTTATGACTTATGATTGTAGTGAAGTAAAAGCATGCATGAAATTGATTTGATTGATTCTGAAATTAATCTTTTATACCTAATCAACCTATCAACATTTCTTGAATGCATGTATTAAAGGGAATGATACTTTAATTTTCTTTCAGGTGCTACAATGGATGAAGAACCAATGGCCGGTCAAGAACATAGGACCAATGATTCCATCAATGTACTTAGACAAACGGATAGCAGGCGACAAGGACTATGGAATCAACCTCTTCAATGCCCAAGTTAACGAATGCCTTGATTGGCTTGACTCAAAACCGCCAGGTTCAGTGATCTACGTGTCTTTTGGAAGCTTAGCTGTCTTAAAGGACGATCAAATGATAGAAGTCGCGGCTGGTCTAAAACAAACTGGCCATAACTTCTTATGGGTTGTCAGAGAAACCGAAACAAAGAAGCTCCCAAGCAATTACATAGAGGAAATTGGTGAAAAGGGATTGATAGTTAACTGGAGTCCTCAATTACAAGTTCTTGCACATAAATCAGTCGGTTGTTTCATGACTCATTGCGGGTGGAATTCGACTTTAGAGGCATTGAGCTTAGGAGTGGCTTTGATTGGAATGCCGGCTTATAGCGAGCAACCGACTAATGCTAAGTTTATAGAAGATGTGTGGAAGGTTGGGGTTAGGGTTAAGGCAGATCAAAATGGGTTTGTGATGAAGGAAGAGATTGTGAGATGTGTTGGAGAAGTTATGGAAGATATGTCGGAGAAAGGGAAGGAGATTAGAACAAATGCTCGGAGATTGATGGAGTTTGCAAGAGAAGCTTTGTCTGAAGGAGGAAATTCTGATATGAATATAGATGAGTTTGTTGCTAAAATTGTGAGGTAAATTGATGGTATGATCAATTCTGTGATGCTAATTAATAATGTGTTTTTTCAAAAGCGTTTTTAAAATAAAACAAGTTTGGAATGTAACTTATGTTGGTTTGTTTCGAAGTTATTTATGGCGTGAAGTGAACAATGTGATTAAAATGGTACAGAATTTGGGAAATCTAGGATTGAAGAATAGAAAAACCAGGAAGATTTGAGATATCAATTTTCTTCAAAGTTATTTACTAGTGAATTTGCTATAACAATTTTATTTTCTGGAAACTGGATAATTCAGATTACATTATATATATATATATTTGGTTAATCCGGGGAATCACATGACAAATCTTAGAGCAAAATCCAGACTAATCTTCTGTGCTCATAGAAATCCAGATTTTCTTGCCAGGCAAGGCGTAACATTTCACCTTTTAACGCTTTTGCATACATTTTTTCTTCTTTCATCTTCTTCTTTTCCCTCTCATTTCCTCCCTAATCTCTTTTTTTACTTTATCTTTCTTACAAATCCGTAACTATCTCGCTATCTAAACAGAGAAAAAACGTATTTGTTCATATTCTTTATGTTTAAAAATATTTATTAATGAAACAGTTAATAAAAAATATACTGTTTTAAAACCAAATCTACAGATTTTTATACCAAATCCGTACTCAGCAGATTTAAATTAACTGAAATTATTAAATTATATTAGAAATATTAATTATTATTAAGATACTTTTAGAGAGCTTTATTGCGTTTAGAGACAATTTAAATTTTGATAAAATATTGTTAGATTTTGAATTTATCTTTTAAGAAACTTCAAAAATAAAAGGTTGAAACTATTTATTAGGAGATCTCCTAATCAAACGGAGCTAGGCCCTGCTAGTACAAGTAGCCTATATAAAGAGGATCGAGATCAGAAGAGAGAACATGTTATAGCAAAACCCTAAATATTCAAGGAGTTTGTTTCGTCTCCTTCCTATAAATTATCCTCAAAATCGTTTTAGGGTTTCTTCAGCCGCCGGTCATGGATTATTCAGATGATGACATCATCGATATGGAATCAGGGGAGGAGGAGGATCATTACAGCGATGGTGGTAACGAATATGCCGATCACTACCCTCTTGAAGAAGACGCAATTATTCCATCTGAGAAAAGTTACGTAGTTCTCAAGGAAGAAGACATTCACAAGCATCAAAGAGACGATATCGAACGAGTTTCCACGGCTCTCTCTCTAAGCCAAGTCGAAGCGACCGTTCTTCTTCTTCATTATCATTGGAGTGTTAGTAAGATCTACGAGGAATGGTTTACGGACGAAGAGAGAATCCGTAAAACAGTTGGAATCCTGAAGGAGCCTGTCGTTGACGTTAATGGTAGAGAAGTGGATATCCAATGTGGAATTTGCTTTGAATCATACACTTCAGATGAAATTGCTACGGTTTCTTGTGGTCATCCTTATTGCAAGACTTGCTGGACTGGTTACATCTCTACAACAATCAACAACGGTCCAGGATGTTTAAGGGTTAAATGTCCTGAGCCTTCTTGTTCCGCTGCGGTTGGTCAAGATATGATCGATAAGGTTAGTAATAAAGAAGATAAGGAGAAGTACTATAGATATTTTCTTAGGTCTTATGTGGAAGAAGTTGGGGAGAGAACTAAATGGTGTCCATCACCGGGATGCGAATGTGCGATAGATTTTAGTGTTGGGAGTGGAAGTGGAAGTAGTAGTTATGATATTTATTGTTTGTGTTCGCATAGCTTTTGCTGGAATTGTACTGAAGATGCTCACAGTCCTGTGGATTGTGACACGGTCTCAAAATGGATATTCAAGAACCAGGATGAGTCCGAGAACAAGAATTGGATGCTTGCGAATTCAAAGCCTTGTCCTAAATGCAAACGTCCTATCGAGAAGAACGATGGATGTAACCGTATGACATGCTCAGATCCATGTAGACATCAGTTTTGTTGGATTTGTCTTGAACCACATTATGGTCACGGTGCTTGCAACAAGTTCGTTGAGGAGAAGGCTGAAAGTAAGAGAACATTGCTTCAGAATGAAATCAAAAGATACACGCATTATTATATAAGATGGGCAAACAATCAATCGTCGAGGCTAAAGGCTATGAGTGATCTGGAGAAGTTGCAATCGGTGCAGCTTAAGCAGCTTAGTGATAAACAAAGCAAACCAGAAACTGATCTCCAATTCACCTTAGATGCATGGATTCAGGTTAGTAAAAGTATTTAAATAACTCTCTGATTCGTAACAATGCGAAACGGTACAAAAAATGTATGTCGAATGTAACACTGGAACAGAATCTAGGAATGACTTCATAGTAGAAATTAGAAAAAACGATTTCATGAGTAAACTCCTTACCATGATCCGAATTACCAATGAAACTCTAAGTTTGACTTTCGATAAATTACAACATTGTTGTTGAACATTTACTGACATGTGATTGAGTTTACTATTGCAGATCCTCGAATGTAGGAGAGTCTTGAAATGGACATATGCATATGGATACTACCTTCATGATCTCGCCAAGCGACAATTTTTCGAGTATTTGCAAGGTTAGTTTTTCGTAAGGAAACACTTAAATATGTACGTGTAATCTTAATTTGTCCATTGTAGCTAAGTAAATTCTTGTTGTGTTGTTGTTAGGGGAGGCTGAAACAAGTTTAGAGAGGCTTCATCATTGTGCAGAGAATGAGTTGAAACAGTTTATCAATAAAACTGAAGATCCATCCGAAACTTTCTCTGCTTTCCGGATGAAATTAACTAATTTGACTAATGTAACTAAAACCTACTTCGAAAATCTGGTGAAAGCTTTGGAAAATGGTCTTGCTGATGTGGCATATAATTATGAGACGACCAAATCAAGAGAAGAATCTGATGATTTTCTCGAAACACAAAAGCTATATGATACTTATATAAGTGAAGGCTACTTCTTCTGAGATCTCTCAGCTTCAGTTTATTCCCTTTGTTATTAGCATATTTGGATAGTTTTTTTATAGGTTTTACTATAAACCTAACTATATTTTTCTTTACTATAAACGGAATTTCTCATTGCTTCTTTGACTTTTGAATTTTGATTACTTGTTCTTTCCTAGTAGAACAATTTTGGTGAAAACAATTAACATCAGTACGTCTTGTCCCATATTTTTAGGATAGACATGTTATACTTCACAATCCTTAAGACAAAATAACAGAGGACATCTACGTCGTCAGGAAGCTCGGAGGCAAACTATACTAATGAAAAAAATATGCAGTTTAATAAGGGTAGCACAAAAGAAGGAAACTAAAAACATTGAACTTGGTTCCGTAAAAGAAAGAAGTGAAGCGGCATCAAATGCCCACATCTTGAGATCGAGGAATACCACAATAATTCAAAAAATATAGGGGTAAATATATTTGCATGCATTTTTACTTTTTTAGTAATTTGGTTTAAGAAGCTATTAATGTTTTTTTTTTTTTTTAATGTGTATAATAATGTTTCTAAACCCGAGTCAAATATAGATCCATAGTCGAATTGGTAAACACGATGATCCAATAACTAATCCAAATAATGTTCCAATGCGATAGTCGAGTTTACTTGTCCGACCGCCAATCTCAATCATGAGTCGGATTTGAAAACATTACATTAACAAAAAGATTCATAGTTCTTAAAACCAAATCTGGAGAATTTTAATCAAATCTATGAATATCTAAATAATTTGAATATTATTAAGTTGTTGTTAATAACAACGATGATTTTTTTGCTTTTTGATCTTGTTGCATTTTAGTAAAAAAAAAAATATCTATACTATTAATTGGGAATCATTCAAACATAAGTAACCTCATTTTGGTAGAATATTTACAAAAAATGTCATTGCAAAATTTGGATACAAAGAAACAAAAAAATCTCACGTGAAAGGGTAAAAAAAAAATTTCTCATTTAAGAAACACGCGGATCTTGGATCTTCAATTGGATCTTCTAATATTACAAACGAAACAACACGCGGATCTATATTTGCTGAGTTGGATGATCCGATTAACATTCTCTCTCAATATTACTGGGTTGGATGACATTTGAGCTGGGCTTCGTAGTTGTCTAATGGGCTTCGCCGACAATCACAGCCTCACAATTAATCCCAATATTGTTTGAGATACTCGGATATTAATGAGACATAAACAAAATGGTTAGTTACCATTTAAAAAGATTTCAATAACAAACATATTCATTCAATATCCATAACTACACAAATTTAAACAGATTTCCATAACAAACAAATCCTCGATAATCTTTTTAGCTCAATTGATCATAATCACGATTTCCCAATTTATATCTAAACAAATTATTTACCTTAACAAACAATTCAATTACCAAACTCTATCAAAAACTAGATATTGAGATATGTTTAAATCGAGAATATACCCTTAAATTCGAGCATCTACCTTATACGGTTGTTGATTTAATTCTCTAAACCTAAAATCTGCTTACCTCCCTCAACTCATATAAATAGACGCCTAATGTAAAAGTTCAGAAACACACTAACCTTTCATAAAAGCATTCATCTCTTTTTACTATTTCGTAATCATGGCTCTAAATCACGGTATCACCACCATTGCTGACGTGAGGACTTTCAAGACGAATTGGAAGATCCAAGTGAAAATTGTCCATTCCTGGACACAATACATGCAATTCACTGATGAAATAACAGAAATGATCCTTGCAGATCAGGCTGTAAGTATAGATTATGTGCTTCATTATATCTTAAGATTCTTTACTAATTACAATAATCATAAAATTAATCTATGTTGTTATCTTCTATATAGGGTACTTTGATACATGCTACTATGAAGAAATAACAAGTGAACAAGCTTCAAAAGTTCATCCAAACTGGAGAGTAGAGAATTGTGGAATTAACATCTGACTAACCTTTAACATTTAGATTTTTCAAAAAGTCCTCAACCAACACCAAATATCCTTTCTCCTTCTGAATTCAAGTCCCAGCTGATTCTATGTCTGCAGATAATGAACTTACGGTCATAAGTCTTAAATATTTTCAAACATCTGAATAATTCTAAAGATAATCACCAAAACGTATTAAAATTCAAGAACTTTTACATTTACAGATCTCAAATGCTCCAAACTAACATCAAATCAGACTTCTCTAAAAGAAATAGACTCGCAAAAATGATACTTAGCCTGCAGACATTGAGCTTTGTATCATGAGTGAATTATCTTTGGAAAGTTGCGATGTTTTATAATAATCGTTTAAAAACTTATCTCCTATGTCCTCTACTCTTGAAAACACATAAGAATGTCTGTAACAATCTGTAACTATTATATAAACAAAATTAATTAGATCTATTTCCACGTTTCAAAATATACTGAACATCACAAAATATAGATTCCAAATTGAATAAATTTAATATCTGTAATCAGAAATTTTATAGAGACATAATGATTTTTTTAGCTAACGTGTTCAAAGAAAAACGAAATCAGATGTATCAGGTGCTATGTAATTTAGATATAAAAGATCAATCAGTACCTGAAGTTTCCTCTGTAATTCACAATTTCACAATTCTTTCTGCAAAACGATATTGAAACAAAAATAAAAAAATCATCCTCAGAACGGAATCGACAGATTTACAACACTTAAAACAAGATAAAAACGAATCTCTTTTCGATCTAACAATTACATCTCCAGAAAGTATAAACAAAGAAGAATTATATGGAATCTGTGAGAATTTTGCAAAAGAATCGTCGATACCGACAATAATTTTTTTTATAACATCTGTATATATATATTTTTTTATCAGACATCGATTGTTCAATTAAAGATTATCTGTTCAGATAATAAAAACAAATTTCACGTAATGGGTCTAATATGTAGTAGGCCCATCGTTAATATGTATATAAATCTCTTTCGGCCCAACATGGTTTTGTGTGACCCATATCAAAATATTTATGTTTCAGGTAATGGCGATGACCTATGGAATTAAGTTTTGACTTTAGTATTAAACATCTTATGCTAAGTGTATAATTAAACTATTTATTTTATTGTATAACACCTTTCTATTATGATAAATGTTGCATCTTTTAGTAAATACACTTTTTTGCATAATGTAAAATTAATCAAACTGAAAATAAATGTGTGTAATATTGTTTATTATAAAGATTGATATTTTTACTATTAATTACATAAAACAAAACAATACATTTAAATTACAACTTTATGTAAATCATATCGATTTAAAATAACAACCCGCACGTACGTGCGGGTCCGGATCTAGTTGATACAGGTAAATTTTGTGAAAATATGTACTAATTTACTTTTAAAATTAGATGATATCCGATTATCCATGTTACAACATACATATATATTTAAAACATTGTCAAGTTGCGATGGTGTCAATATTTTTTTTATTAAAGAAGTTGCGATGGTGTCAATATTTTTTTTTAAGTTGTCGTTGTAATATGTTTTAGTCAGGCTATTATTTGTCGTATATTATTTGTACGAATTTTATTCAAGCTATTGGCGTATAATACTAGACTAGATAACAAACCACACATAAGCACTATGTGCGAGACAATACAATTATTAACCAACTGTATTGATATATTGAATGTGCTCGATTTTTATATTATTAGATAAATGGTGGTGTAATAATGATTATCAAGATTAGTGAAATTTTCATTTATGTATTAATGTTTATGTTTATCATAATTTATGATATATATCTTGGTATATTAATTAATATACAAAATATTAGGTACTCCATCTTAATTAATATTTTAATTGTATTTTCGTTTTAATTAATTGAGTAAAATAAAAAACATAAATAAAGTGAAAAAAATAAATATAAGTAAAACTAATGGTAAAATCTATTAATATCTTAATAAATATTAGGTTTTTAATTAAATGGATTGAGAAGCACTATGAGAACGACACGTGAGCATGGCATTTTTGTTAATCACACATGAAAGTAAGGTTATTTTTTAAAAATGCTTCTCAATTAATATATAAGGGATGTTATACACTTATTTTTACACGGAGCTTTACAAATTTTTTTTGTTTATTATTTTCTAGTTAGATAGAAGATTGATTCTTTGTATAGAATATTTAAAATTTATACACTAAATATAGGGTTAGATGCAATGACTTATTTTTATTTTATATATATATATATATATATATATCTATGGATAAAAATATTTAAATTTATTTTCTACCTTTTGTTATTATTTTATAGATTCTAAATTAGTTAAATTCAATTAGTATATTAAGATACTTAAAATAATATTTCGTGTTTAATAGTTTTTTATATTTATTTAAAATATTTTTGAAAAAGTTGGAAATATATAAATTTGCGAAGATTTACTTCTATATAAAAAAAAAAATATAAATATTTCAAATGTAGAAAGATAGGATATATAAATTTTTGCAAAAGATATCTTCAGAGTTCAGATATTAGTAGGATATATTTTTTCCCTCAACAAGTTTTAGAACCAATATTATCTTTTTGGCCTAAAATTGAAGAGAAAATTGAAAACAAAAACAAAATTTGATGAATTTTTTGCTAATTCTTACGCTTAATTAAGTGATTGACTAGTAGAGAAACTGCTGTTATACGTTTCAGTTTTCCGAGATGAAAACACGTGGACAAATTGGTTATGATCTCTGATTTGTCCTTTCTTACGTTGTTTTACGTATTTTATTAAAGGTCCATAAAAGATTTTAGCTCCGAGTAGTATCCTAACAATAATAACTTGGAATCAAATGAATCTATAAATCAAAAGAAGACGATTGATAAGAACTTAGAAGAGAGAGCTTCTAGGAGTTAGAGCAAAGCCCTAATTTACCAAGGAGACTTAGCTTCGTGTGCCTCCTTTAAATCTCAAAGTCGTTTAAGGTTTTATTTTTCCAGACGGTCATGGATTATTCAGATGATGACATAATCGATATCTCATCAGGAGAGGAGGAGGAGGATCTTTACATCGATGGTGGTATAGAATCCGATGACTACCATTTTGAAGACACAATTAGTCGATCTGAGAAAAGTTACGTAATTCTCAAGGAAGAAGATATTCTCAAGCATCAAAGAGACGATATCGAACGAGTTTCCACGGCTCTCTCTCTAAGCCACGTCGAAGCGACCGTTCTTCTTCTTCACTTTCATTGGAGTGCTAGTAAGATCGAAGATGAATGGTTTACGGACGAAGAGAGAATCCGTAAAACCGTTGGAATTAGGCCTGGGCAAAAAACCCGTACCCGCGTACCCGAACCGAAACCGACCCGAAAAACCCGGTTCGGAGCGGGTACGGGTATAAGAGTTTTATACTGTTGGGTCTTATGTATTCATACCCGTGGGTATCGGGTCGGGTTCGGGTTTTACCCGATACCCGATAGTGTAAACCGAAACCCGAAGACCTACCTTTACTCTTTTAAGTCTATATGTCGTTTTAGGGTTAGAGACGATTAAAGGAGAGAGCTTTACCTTTCGATTTAGCTTCTTGCCTTGCTCGATTCCCGATTCTAGATCTATACTCTCTCCTTTATCGATCATCATTTAATCGAACCAATCCTGGAAACTCAAGAGAAGACCACGACACCGTCTCTGGTCACTTCTCCACCGTCGGCGTTGTCGCGAAACCAGTTAGAGGTAATTTTCGATTGTTCTACTCCATGATCTATGTGTCTGCAGTGTTTGCATCATGTTTTTAAATTGTAATCGAGTCTCTGCGGTCTGCATCATGTTTCTCTGTAAATCGAAGTCTATGCATCATGTATTAATCGAGTTTTTGCATCATGTTTGTAATCGCGTCTCTGCATCATTGTAATCGAGTCTCTGCGTCTTGGTTATCTATAAATCGAAGTCTCTGCATCAATTTAATCGAGTCTCTGCATCACTTGTTAATATTGGTAAATCGAAGTCTCTGCAATTTTATGTTTATGGTGCTAAAAATATTGAGAATTGTAGGAGATTCACATAGGCTTTGAGAAGAGGTTTTTGGTTTGATGACCACATCACACTTTTGAGTTCAGTGCTTTCATGTTTAGTTTGCTTTTTCAACTGCTTGGGCTAAAATTTGTTAAGGAAGGTTTCACGCTTAGTTTGCCTTTGAATGCAAATTTCCAAACAGTTGTAAATTCTCTGGTCCTGAATAAAGTGTGAACAGTTGGTATGAGAAGTAAGTTCTGATTCTATTATCTCTTTTGAGTTCTAACATCATGTTGCAATATTGTGATTCTAATTCTTGTTGTTTCATTTTTTATAGAGCATGAATGAACTAGGTGAACCAGAATTTGTTTTTAATATGCAAGGCCAAGGAGCTGATAGTCTGTAGAATGAATGATTGAGATACAAAGGTTAGTCATTAGTGACTGAGTAAGATACATAGCTTATGTAAGAGTGAGATTGCATTCTAATTTCTGACATTGGTTTACTTGTATAGGTTCATGCGGGTCAAGGAGAGTGATATTGTCTATTTCTAGTTTTCTGTTTTTATGCCATGAACTTGTTAGGCAATCCGGTTTGCCAATTTGTCTTTTTTCTTGGATTTGAATCATGTGTAATGGATGTTTAAGATTTTCCTATTTAAATGCTTTAAGTTTTGTTCTGTTCTATTGGAGTGTAAAGCTTACACAATAGGGTAAAAAATATACATAACAGTGTAATCGGGTAGAAAATACCCGAAACCGACCCGAAATACGTAGAACCCGATTTTTTCGGGTTTTTAGCGGGTCTCAAATCTGATACCTGAACCGACCCGAACCCGACCATACCCGAACCGACCCCGAACCGATGTTTTCAGTTTACCCTATTGGGTCCTAGATTACCATACCCGACATACCCGTACCCGATCGGGTTTTACCCGAACCCGACCCGCGGACCCGAATGCCCAGGCCTAGTTGGAATCCTCAAGGAGCCTGTCGTTGACGTTGATGGTAGAGAAGTGAATATCCATTGTGGAATTTGCTTTGAATCATACACTCGAGAAGAAATTGCAAGGGTTTCTTGTGGTCATCCTTATTGCAATACTTGTTGGACTGGTTACATCACTACAAAAATCGAAGACGGTCCAGGATGTTTAAGGGTTAAATGTCCTGAGCCTTCTTGTTCCGCTGCCGTTGGTCAAGATATGATTGATGAGGTTACTAAGGAAAGGATAAGGAGAAATATCATAGATATCTTCTTAGGTCTTATGTCGAAGAAGGGAAGAAGATTAAATGGTGTCCATCACCGGGATGCGAATATGCTATTGAATTTGGTGGAAGTGGAAGTAGTAGTTACGATGTTTCTTGTTTGTGTTCGTATAGGTTCTGCTGGAATTGCTGTGAAGACGCTCATACTCCTGTGGATTGTGAAACGGTGTCAAAGTGGTTACTAAAGAACAAGGATGAGTCCGAGAACACGAATTGGATACTTGCTAAGACAAAGCCTTGTCCTAAATGCAAGCGTCCTATTGAGAAGAACAATGGATGTAACCATATGTCATGCTCAGCTCCGTGTAGACATTATTTTTGTTGGGCTTGCCTTCAACCATTGAGCAGTCACCAGGCTTGCAACGCGTATAAAGAAGACAATGAGGTTGAAACTAAGAGAAAAAGGGCTAAAGATGCGATCGATAGATACACACATTACTATGAAAGATGGGCATTCAATCAATCGTCGAGGCTAAAGGCTGTAAGTGATCTAGAGAAATGGCAGTCAGTGCAGCTTAAGGAGCTTAGTGACAATCAGAGCTCACCAGAAAGTCAGCTTCGTTTCACCGTAGATGCGTGGCTTCAGGTTAGTAAAAGTAATTATTGTAACATTGGGAAACCGTTTAATAAAAATTATGTGGAAACAACGGAACATAATGGAATTTTACTACATAGCATATAAGCTTTATTGAAAAACCATCTTGAAGACGATTTTATGGTTAACTTATAATCTTGTTGAACTGATGAATGGATCACTAGAATGTGTGTAATTTTCAAAATGGCGAAAATAATTCCACCATTATAATGCGATTCACCAATGGGACTCTATGTTAGATTTTGTTAATTACTTACAAAAATAAGTAGGTGGATTGTAATCACCAAACAGAATCTAGGAATCAGTACATAGTAGAAAAAACGAGAAAAGCTTTATTAAATTGGAAAATCATCTTAATGACGGTTAAATTTTTTTGAATGCTGAAATCATTCCACCATTATGAGAATTACCAATGAGACTCTAAGTTAATTACACCATTATTATTGACATGTAACAGATTTTTTTGTTATAGATCATTGAATGTAGGAGGGTCTTGAAATGGACCTATGCATATGGATACTACCTACTTACTCAAGAGCGTGACAAGCGAGAATTTTTTGAGTATTTGCAAGGTCAGTTTTTTGTACAGAGTCACTTAGTTTGTGTGTAATCTTATATTTTCCATTAATTGTAGCTAAATTTTCGTTGTGTTGTTGTTCAGGGGAGGCAGAAACTGGTTTGGAGAGACTTCATCATTGTGCAGAGGAGGAGTTGAAACAGTTTATCGGTAAAACTGTAGACCCATCAAAAAATTTCGGTGAGCTCCGGATAAAATTAATTGATTTGACTGTAGTAACCAGAACCTACTTCGAAAATCTGGTGAAAGCTTTGGATAATGGTCTTGCTGATGTTGCATATAATGAGAAGAGCCAATCAACACAAGAACCTGAATCTGAATCTTTTACCAAAAGACAAAAGTCGGTGGCAAACGGTAGAAGAAGCTTCAAAAGAGGTAATTGAGATAAGGAAAATAAAATCTTTTAGAGTTTAGCAGCTTGGAAATACTCTCTGATTTATGTGTTTGCTGCGTATGACTTCAAGTTTTTATTTTGTGGCTTTAATTTTTTAAACCTTATACCTTTAATTTTTATTTATTTAGTATTAAGGAATTGCAACTTTGCTACTTGACTTTTATATTTTGATTGCTTGATGTCTTATACTGCAATTTTGTTGAACAATAATTTGTATGTCTTGTCTGAAAAATTCTCTAGATCAAGAAGAGCTAATGTAATCTCCTTCAAGTGGAAGAAACTAAATTACATTTGTCAATACCATTCAAACAAAAGATCAAGATACTTGAATTGTGAGAACTTAAAACATCTATAAAAAACGATTTATAAATACTATTTTTTTTTTTTAAATGTGCAGTGTCTTTAGTAAATTGGTTAAGTACATTTGACTCCACTTTTTTTTACCGGAATTCGATTCCACTAAATCACGTTACTCCGCATAATAAAAATTACCTATATATAGAACCTTGTCGATCTAAAAATGTTATAAAAAAAAAATACTGTCTCGTTTTAAATTTTCATAAGTTCTCTTTAAATTTTGTTGCGCTCATCCATAACACTGTATGAAGGCCAATAAATAATATAACAAAATGAAAAAGTATGATCCACAAAAAAGAGAAAAGTATGATCTCACCTCCGTTTTCTCCGCCGGATCTACAGTTCTCTCGGGAGTCTCTCGATCTCGAAGATCATGTTCATCGTGCACCGATGTCAACCTCTCATACGCCTCCTCCGCCAGATCTTCACTTCTCTCGGGAGTTTCCCGAAGAACATTATCACCGTGTACTGCAACTGATCTCTACACCGCATCCTCCGCCATGTCCAGATCTCTCTCGGGAGCTTCCAGATCTGAAGCCACAAGTTGCATTGTTGGCATGAAGCTCTGGTCCGACGAACCTTCCGGTGAGCATTTGCCTGACGTCTCTCTACATTTCCGGTGTATCAGTTTTTCGTCGCCGAGACACATCTCCGACTCTCCCTCCGCCGTGAGTAGCTCGAGATCAAAGGACGCCTTCGATGGCCCAAACGTTATTTTCTGTTTTTCCAATCTGCTCCAACGGGTGCTCCTTATATTGCCGTTTTTGGCGCCTCCTCGAAAGGCATATTGGTTTGGAAAGCTTGACAACTCTTTCCGACAAGGCATCCTACCGCCGTCGAGAATCTTCTGTGGCTCGGCCACTGAGCCTTTATCTCCACCATTTAATCCGGTCACTCCTCCGGATTTGTTGATTCCACAAATCGTTAGAAGCTTCCACTCTCAGCCGAGGGTGAGATACTTTCCACCAACCGGAAAAACTATTCCGATGCTTGTGGTCGTCTCTTCGGTTAACCGCCGTACCCTATGTTTGGTTTCTATGGGTCTTTGGCGAGAAAGGGATCAAACCCTAATCGAGTTGGGCCAGGGATTAGGTTTTCTAAATTTGGGCCTGATTAGCCCCGATAAATTCATATTCCATATGGGCCAACTTTTGTTTTCCTGGTTTTTGGACCAGTGTCTAATTATTTTGTTAATGGGTTTGTCAAAACCAAGAAGATCCTCATGTCTTAGTTTATTCTTATCTAAGAATGAAATATTGTTTCTACAATGTTTACAATTATATCGTTGTAAATTTAGAATGCAGTCAAAAGACCATAAGTGTTTCTTGGTCTCTACTTCCTCCATTATGGAGAGTGATATGTTGTTATTTTCTTTCTATAAGAAACGATTAATTCCACCAAATTCGTCTCTTTGGAAGCAATTGTCCTTTCCTCAATCTTCCAATTCGGAGAGAATTATGGTATCTTCCTCCTTTTTGGAGAATGAAGCTAAAAGCTTTGCATGGACGACATCAGGAGTTCAAGAATATGCTCCCTTGCCGTTGGAAACCAAACCCTTGTTTATCTCGGGTTTTTGGATCATGAAAGTTCTCTCTCATCTTACTTGTGACCACCTTTTTCAAGGACCGAGTGTCACGACACTTTTGGCGCAAGTTTGGATTTTCAAAATTACACGGAAATTCCTGTTTTTGGGCTTGTTGAAACTAAAAAGATTAGTATGTTTCTGTTTAGATGTTTCTAAGAATAAGAATCCGCAAATTTTCAATGGATATCTTTATCGATTGGATAGTAATTTTGCTCTGACCACTCTATTTTTTGGGAGTGATCAATTGTCGGTTATTAAGAGACCTAGTTCGAAAATTTGGATGCTCTTATCTTGCGACTTTGAAAATCCGGTTTCAAAGAACCGCGACAATAAGAGGGATCGAATATTATGGTGTGAAACCAACCACATTCTTCAGTTGGGTAATTACAGCTTGCTAAGGCCAGTGGCGTTTGGTTGCAACAAGTCAGTTTTCAAGTTTGGAAAAATGAATCATGGTGGTCAGGGCATGATTGGAGTATTGATCCTAGATCTATCTTTTCCCGACTCGATTAATTCCTCCCTTGATGAGAGACATGGCTTTAACTTCCTCTTTGTTGAAAGAGAGACCTCTTCAGCTAGCATCTCTCACAGGCGTGGTAAACTTCTAATGTGCCTTCTCCTGAGAAGCTTAGTTGAGTTCCAAAACACTATGCTTTCTATGGTGATTCCCTTCACGAGACGAGGAGGTTTTTTGTACCCTTTTACATCCTTCATACTCACAGGCTCTAATCTTCGGTGTATCTCTTTGCTTGGTTCGAGAATTCTGCCTACAATTGCTTGGTTTCGTTCCCTTCTCTTTATCGACGACCTTGGACTTTGGATCGCGAGATTTTCTTCTCGTCCTTTTTGCGACCCCCCTTTTCAGGGAATGAATGCTCATGCACTTTAGGCGCAATATTGGAAGTTTAAAACTGCTTGGAATCTTTTGTATTCCTTGTGGCAATGGTTACCATGGAGCTTGGCATTCTGGAAAAGGACAGCCCTCCGCATCTACGAGAATCCTTCCTTCGTGGTGGAACTCCTTATCAGTAGTATTTCTTTATCTTTTGCTGTAACTCTTCAGTCTAGGTTTTTTCCTCGTATTTTTAATGGTCGGGTTGTTTGTTTAGCTAAGAAAGCCCGAGCCCGTAAGTGTATCTTTTCCCATGTAAGCTCATCGGTTCCTGATTGGCTCTCCCCAGAGGAGAGTCTCTTCCCGATAACTTAATAAAATGGTGTTTGACAAAAAAAAAAAAAAAAGTGAAATTATAATTTCTATCGGACCCACCCACCTAATCTCCTCACTTCATGGCGTCACCTACCCACCACGTTTATTACATGGTTAGTAAAAAATTTCTTTTACCATCACAATGTTTAAATCGTCATAGATTGCTCTATACACATCACACCAAACTGATTTCAACTAAAATAAATAAATTTCATAGAAATCAATCCTGAAAAAACTTAAACTCTAACATTGCATACAAATTTACTCGCAAAAAATGCATCGATTTATATTGAAACAGTCCTTTAAATTTAAGACTAGAGTGAGTTAAAACCAAAAGCAGAAGAAGAATTGGCAATTATCCTGACAAATATAATATCAACCACTTCACGGAGATTAATATTACACTATATATATATCTCCGTTAAGCATAATAAAAACATCCTATAATTTGAGACCGATACAGTAACTTTTTTCAACATTATAAATAACTACATATATATATCACTATATATACCCACTTAATGGAGACACATAAATTAGAACATTAACATAGCAAGTTAGCAACCACTTATTGTTTCTTTGGTTCGAACAAATAAACCCCAAAAAGAATGAGTGAAGCAAAGGGTCACGTACTGTTTTTTCCATATCCATTACAAGGACACATTAACCCAATGATCCAACTCGCTAAACGCTTATCCAAAAAGGGCCTCGCTATCACACTCATCATCGCCTCAAAAGACCACCGTGAACCTTACACCTCCGAAGACTATTCCATCACCGTCCACACCATCCACGACGGTTTCTTTCCAGATGAACACCCTCACGCCAAGTTCGTAGATCTTGACCGTTTCAACAACTCTACTTCTCGTAGCCTCACCGATTTCATCTCTAGGTATACATGAATTTCAAATATAATATGACATATCTCCCTAGTTATTTTAGAGGTAATTTTACTTTGAAATTTGATGAGAGAATTTTTTTAGTAAAAATCTCTACCCTGAACTTCTTTGTCCATTAAATTTGAAATTTTGAAGCCTTAGACCTTTAGTTATTCCATATGTTCTGAGTGAACTAGAATTTACCTTTGTCAATTACGAAACTTTGTTTTATGTATCTTTTATGTACATTAATCAAATGAATCAACTCTCCTTTTTGAGTGATTATCAACCTTTTTTAATGTTTATACAAAGTAATTCAGCTAGGTTTTACTATTTACAACAGTCATAAGCCTTTTTTTTTTATGAATTTAAAACAGTTTCAATATAATGCAATGCCCATGTAAGAAAAAAGCTTAGCTTTAAAACTATTAAAACTAGTTTCTTAGCGTTTTTAGGATTATTATAATATATACGCAAAAACGTTATTAATCTCTACTGTTACATAATCCCTTGTATATGCAGTGCGAAGTTGTCGGACAATCCTCCAAAAGCTCTGATCTATGATCCATTTATGCCCTTTGCATTAGACATAGCCAAGGACTTGAATCTATACGTAGTGGCATATTTCACTCAACCATGGTTGGCTAGCCTTGTGTACTACCATATCAACGAAGGCGCCTACGATGTTCCCGTTGATAGACACGAGAACCCAACGCTTGCATCTTTTCCAGGTTTCCCATTGTTAAGCCAAGATGATCTGCCTTCTTTCGCCTGCGAAAAAGGGTCGTACCCTCTTATACACGAGTTTGTGGTTAGGCAATTCTCTAATTTGTTGCAAGCTGATGGCATTCTCTGCAACACTTTTGATCAACTTGAACCAAAGGTAACGTTATAATTTATATTTTTTTTGGTCATGTATATGAATTTTGAGAAGGTGGAAAGTTTTGTGGAACGTCTTTTTTCTTACACAGGTAGTGAAATGGATGAATGATCAGTGGCCGGTGAAGAACATTGGACCGGTAGTTCCGTCGAAGTTCCTGGATAATCGGCTGCCAGAAGACAAAGATTACGAACTTGAGACCTCCAAGACAGAGCCAGATGAGTCTGTTTTGAAGTGGTTGGGGAATAGGCCAGCGAAGTCGGTGGTTTACGTGGCGTTCGGGACATTGGTGTCTTTGAGCGAAAAACAGATGAAGGAAACCGCAATGGCGATTAGACAAACCGGATATCACTTCTTGTGGTCCGTTAGAGAATCCGAGAGGAGCAAACTACCGTCTGGTTTTATCGAAGAGGCAGAGGAGAAAGATTGTGGACTTGTGGCTAAGTGGGTTCCTCAGCTAGAGGTTTTGGCACATGAATCAATCGGGTGTTTCGTGTCACACTGTGGATGGAACTCAACATTGGAGGCACTGTGCTTAGGGGTTCCAATGGTGGGAATGCCTCAGTGGACGGATCAGCCCACAAATGCTAAGTTCATAGAGGATGTGTGGAAGATTGGGGTTAGAGTGACGACCGATGGAGAAGGGCTTGCGAGTAAGGAAGAGATTGCGAGATGCGTTGTTGATGTCATGGAAGGAGAGAGAGGGAAAGAGATGAGGAAGAATGTTGAGAAGCTTAAGGTTTTGGCTCGTGAAGCTATCTCTGAAGGAGGTAGTTCCGACAAGAACATTGATGAGTTTGTTGCTCTTTTGACTTAACAATTTGAATCTGAGATGTCATCAGTTTGTTAGTTGATTACCTAATAACGACTTCTTTGTCGGCTAAATTCTGAGTTATCCTGTTGGCTTCATTGGTTGTGTCCCCTGCAAACAAATCCATAAAAAAAACAGAGATCTTTGAATTTGAAGCATAACAAGAATAAAGAGCTTTCTTGATACTTATATGAATATGATACATTGTATCTCAAAATGCTCAGTTCTGTGCATTAGAGAAGTCTATATAGCTCGATGAAAGTACTTTTCAATTTACATTGTACATTGTTACACGATAAGACAATGACAAATCGGAGAGGGCCGTTTGTTTTTGTATTCTTTGTATCTTAGTTTATTGTAAACATGAGAAGAGAGCTCTTGAATTGCTGAGTTTCTCGTGTTCCTGAGTCAAACCTCTCCCGTTCTTTTCTACTATTTCCTGAGGAATCATCCATTTGGTTGAGAAAAAAACTCATGATATATGTAAGAGCTTGGCTCTAGTCCGTTAGGATAAGAAAAATCACGATCTTAGAAGAATTCGGCTTAACTAAGGTGAAAGTAGAAATGCAAAAACATAAATGATAAATAGTTTTTGAGAGTAAGCTTTTTACCAAGGGAACTTGAATGTATCTTTCCACCATCCCTGTTTTGAGCAGTGTACAAAGATCTTGTCCAATCTAACTATGATCTCAGAAAATGTCGGTCTAACAAAAGTTTCCGTATCCCAGCATTCCTCAATCAATCTGTTCAAATAAAAATTGAACCAATAAGCTGAAAGAGGTTGGGTAAAGGATCAAGGACCAAGTAAATGATGTTACTGTAACTTAAGTGTTAAAACAAGTTCTGTTTTAAAGTTGATAAAGATATAGTATACTTACTCTCTCATCTCTTGGGGACAACTTTTGGACTTGGCCTTAAACGAAGGTCTTCTTCCTTCCAAACACATTAGCTTCACTGCCTCTTCTGGAGGCTTTGGATGGAAGGGTTGTACTCCTTCAATCATCTGAAGAATTTGAAGATGAACTCAGTCAAAGATTTATGCCAAGAGAGTTGTTAGAGAAGCTTGTCGGCGTAAGATGCTAGAAAAAAAACATATCAGCTATACTTTTAGAGAGCATAAAGAACACTCAGTAGATTAAAGCCGGACTAGATACAGCCATCAAGAAATGCAGAGGAGCACTACTACACACATGTTTGACCATTAACGTAACTAATAGATACTTCATATACGACGACACCAAAAAGTAAGAATCCATGAGGTACCTACCTCATATAATACGACACCAAAAGAGTAAGAATCCACACTCCTGTCGAATATTTCATCTTTGTAAACCTCAGGTGCCATACAGTAATCTGCAAACAATAAACAAAACCATCTGTTTAAACTATTGCCTCATGGAAATGTATCATTCTTATGAGTATTTCAATAGTAAAAATAGTTTCTTTACTTAATACTTGTATCAAAGTTTCTCAGGAATCTAGATGTTTTATGTACATCATATGCCCTCACTTCTTTTGGGTAGCCAGAAGGAATTAAGGACTTACTTGAAGGATCTATATGGGCCCCGTGATTGAGTATTTTTGATTTATCAGATGATAACTTTGCAAAACTTATCAAACCAAATCCTGCCACCTTCAGATGTCCTCCACTATCGAGCATAATATTTCTGGCACCTTACAAGAAGTTGCAAAAATTAGATAACGAGGGTCCAAAAATATGTTCTCGAAAACTTAATAATTTGCAAATGCTTCTTTATTTAGTTATCTTACTTGGGTTTTAGATCACAGTGGATTACTGGTTCTGGTTTACACTCGTGAAGATAATTCATTCCCCTGAGAAGAACAAAATTATTTGTTCAGAAGATTAAAAAAAACTGTAGTTGTAATTTGAATACAATCTTGCCAAAAAAAGGCACATGCCTGGCTATATCGAGGGCAAATCTTAGAACTTTGGCTGGAGAAAGACGACCTTTCTTTTGAAGATAGCTCCCAAGGTCACCCTGCAAGTTACCACCAAGTTGACAAAATTAGTTCCTAGCATCCAAAAATTGCTTAATGAGGGAAAAATATTTTTCGGTGTAAAAAGAGGGAAAAGCTTACTTTAGGATGATACTCGGACACAATCATCATGGGGATATTTTGAGTAACAGCTCCAACAAATTGCACAACATTAGGATGACGCACCTTCTCGAATAAAGTAAGTTCGTGTTTGAAGGCATTTCTGTGTGTAAACAACAAACTTCAAATGAGAAAAATTGCAGAACAAACGTTAAATGTGAAAAGCAAATAGGGATCAACATAGAGGGAGTGAAGTGAATTCCAGACAAGAACACCGAAAATGTATAATTCCAACATAAAAGATTATATAAGAACTATGATTAAATAATCTTACAGCTCATATCAATGAGTATCACTATGAACATAACAAATGCTTTCAATGATCTATAGCTTAACTCAAGAAGAAATTCAAACTCCTTCTTGACCTATTGTTCTGTTGACCTGTTAGCTAACATAGACAGATACTCATTGAATAGAAGAGTCAACGTACATGGTTTCATGATCCTTGTAGAGATCCTTATCAAGTATCTTTACAGATACCTTGGTCCCATTCCATTTAGCCACTTGATATATTCCCTGGAAAATGGAAAAGTGATGTAGTAATTTGTTAGAAAGCATTTTACGGGAAATTGAAGCAGGGAGAACTCTTACCTTTGAGATACCATCAGCTTTCCGAACTTGAAGCTCTTGTGGATTTAACTCGTACTCAGGAACTTCACGAGGATTCGCCACAACCATGGGTGTCCTTTTGGTTTTCTAAAACCAAGAAGAAAATGTAAATACAAACACATTGAGATATGAAAAGAACAGAGCCTGAATCCATGAAAATGCAGAAACATACCGGAACTTTAGCTCCACGGGCTTTCAAAATGTTGAAAACATCCATGTTACCATAATACTTAGCATCAGCAGCTGCCTATCCACACAACACAACCAAATTTCAAAACCAAAAGGCACAAATCTAACCAAAAAGAGGCGAGTCATGAAACTAGAAGAATCACATTACCGTGCTTCCCCAACGATCACGAGAATCAATATTAGCCTTCCTGGTAAGAAGAAGCTTCACAACATCAACATGACCTTCACAAGCAGCGATATGAAGAGCCGTACGACCATCAAGATCAATACTATTAACATCAATTCCTTCATCAAGTAGATCCTGAACTCCTTCAACATCACCTCTACAAGCCACAAATAGAAGCTGCATAGTAGCGTCGAGGTTATCCGGTACAGCAAGTTGCGGACGGTTAGAACCATCAGGACTCCGACGAATCGGATCTAGAGACGATTGCCGACCAAAACTGAACCGCAAATTGTTCCGGCGAGGATCGTGTGAAGCTTGACGCGTGAATTGACGACTAAGCGTACGACGAAGCGATCTAGTTGAGAATTGTCTCGAGATTCCTCGTTTTAGCTGTCCCGCGATATTCGCCATGATTTCAAATCTCTGTGTCTTCTCTCTTTCGTCTTCTTCTTCTGAGAAAAAAATAAAAATCGAATGGATAATCACATTTTCTTTTTCTCGAGAAAATTGAAAATTCTTTGATCTGGGGATTATGTGAGAGATCCGTCTCTAGCGCGTTGCTTATCGAGAATAATTATTTAATTTGATATTATTGGGTTTCCGATTGACTTTGATTTGACTTTTCTTTTCAATCATTATTTGGCGAGTCCCGCGTAATTTTGGACTCTTCTTGATTGTCCACTTTTTTCGGTGGCTTTAACGGATTTAAATTATTTTCTTTTTCCAAAATTGTAAAACTTACCCTAAACTTCTCATTATTACAATTAGTTCCTGCTAAATACTATACTTTTTAGCAAAATTAGGAAACTAATTGACTTGAAAAGGTTTTTCCACGTGGAGCTGACGTGTCGGTCTTATCTACTCGAAGCCTTTTGGGCTTTCTTAGCCATTAATTGCTAAGTTCTTTCAAAACCGAACCGGACCGGCCGGTTCGATCGGTCCGACCAACATATATATATACGCTTCCATTTCACTCGCCGTTTCGTCGTCTTCAGTCTTCTTCTTCAGTAGCAACACCTTGGGCTTCGTCTCTTCAATGGCGGCCATTTCTGTAAGTTCTTCACCATCTCTTCGCTGCTTGAGATCGGCATGTTCCGATTCTTCTCCTTCTCTCGTATCCTCGACGCGTGTATCGTTCCCGGCGAAGATTTCATATCTCTCCGGTCAATCTTCGCACCGTGGCGAAGAAATGGGTAAGCGAATGGAGGGATTCGTAAGAAGCGTTGATGGGAAGATCTCTGACGCATCTTACTCCGAAGCTTCCTCTACGACTCCAAAATCGAAGTACTGTGAATATTTCTTTAGATTCGTTTCCTTTGTCCTTTGCTTTGCTTGATTCTTTGTGCTTTGAAATCAGGGTGAGGAAGCACACAATTTCAGTATTTGTTGGAGACGAAAGCGGAATGATTAATAGGATTGCAGGAGTGTTTGCGAGGAGAGGATACAATATTGAGAGTCTTGCTGTTGGTTTGAACAGAGACAAGGCTTTATTCACCATAGTTGTCTGTGGAACTGAAAGGGTACTTCAGCAGGTCATCGAGCAACTCCAGAAGCTCGTTAATGTTCTAAAGGTTGTCCTTTTGTAGATCGCGCTTATTAGTTTCTGCATCACTATAGTTTCATCAGTAGCAACTTTATGCATCAGCCAATTTACCTGTTCATTACTTGGAAGATTTTAGTGGACTTCTTAGGACTATGGAAAATTTACAATTTGCCCGATTTCTTCTTCCACTCTCTGGATTGACCTTGACATGCTAATTAGGTTGAAGATATCTCAAGTGAGCCGCAAGTGGAGCGTGAACTGATGCTTGTAAAAGTGAATGCGCATCCAGAATTCAGGGCAGAGGTACTTTTTCCTTGCCTATGTGAAATTAGAGTTTGATGTACTTGCTGGTTGCTTCTGATCTAGGGCAGTGGTGGTGTTACTTTTCTCTCTAATTTTGACTAGCTTCTGTCTAATGAATTCGCAGATCATGTGGCTAGTTGACACATTCAGAGCAAGAGTTGTGGATATCGCGGAACATGCGTTGACTATTGAGGTAAATCTACTTATGATGTGTTGTTCTTGATATTTGTTTCGCACTATAGCCTATGGGTTTCAGACTTCTGTTTTGCCTTTTGAAACTGATGATGATCCACATGCAGACTCTATTTTGGGATGTAGATTCAGTTTAGATGTGTATTAAGGTTTATTTGAAACTTTTGGTGCAACTTCTGGAACTTAATATAATGAGAAAGTTCTTCAGCAGGTTGCTGCTACCCTTGATTACCCTATGCTTATAATCTGCATTCTGAATTGTATTGCCTGTGCTGATTTCTGTGGGAGTGCTCAGTGTTATTTATAAAGTTAGAGAAGCATGACCTTAAATATATTGTTCTTTTTACCTTGATTATGAGAAAATGGAATAAAAAAAGAATTTGGTGTATCTAATTTACATATTTTAGTTCTTTAGTAATCGTTTTCAAGCTATCTTGCAGGTAACTGGAGATCCTGGAAAAATGATTGCTGTAGAAAGAAATTTGAGAAAGTTTCAGATCAGAGAGATTGTCAGGACAGGAAAGGTAGTGTATGTTTGGAATATTAGATTTTATGGCTTTTGAATATCATTTAGTTTGTGCTATCTAATGTATGTATGTAGTAGTTACATCTTTGAGTGGACACAAAGACATAGATCTCAGGGACTTTCACTAATTTAGGGAAAATGGAATGACATTTTTGGATAACAGATAGCACTGAGAAGGGAAAAGATGGGTGCAACTGCTCCATTTTGGCGATTTTCAGCAGCATCCTATCCAGATCTCAAGGAGCAAGCACCTGTTAGTGTTCTTCGAGGTAGCAAAAAAGGAGCCGTGGTCCCTCAAAATGAAACAACAGCAGGGGTGTGTGCTTCTCTCCTCCTTAGATTGTTTAACTTCAGCTTGAAGTTCCTCGCTTTCCTTTCAAAGATTTTGGTTGCATAAATTAGTAGGTTACGCTATTTGATGAAGTTAAACAGAACTACCAGTGCCAGTGTTTTTTTCCCTTTATGTGGTGGCTGCCTGGAATTAACTTTTGAAGCATGCAATTCTAATGCCCTTTTTTGTTTTTCACCCTAGCTACACTGAAGGTTTTCCACGTTTGGTAATTTTTAAAAGTTATCTTTTCTTTTTAAATCTAGGGAGATGTTTATCCCGTTGAGCCAACTTTTGACCCCATGGTACATCGTGTTCTCGACGCTCACTGGGGACTTCTCACTGACGAAGATGTAAGAGAGTTCTTTGCTATATATCTAACTTCCTGCCATGAATTTGTTAAATAGCAATATGAAAAAAGTCAGGTATCAGATTATAGTTTGCATTACAAGAGTTTCACTTATTTTTCCATTCAGGCTGTCTGGGACTCTGAGTTTCAGTAATCAATTCTGTTAATATAGTTACATAAATGATAAATCAATTTTGAACCAAAAAAATAAAAAAAAAATAAATGATAAATCAATTTAGTGTGTATGATAGCTGTGGAGACTGTATCTATTTACTTACATAGCAGACATTGAAAGAGTTAGGGTTTTCTCTAAGCGATTTCGTTTTATTTATGACAGTTATTCTTTTCTGATCTTTCAGACGAGTGGGCTACGGTCGCATACTCTATCGTTGCTTGTAAATGATACTCCAGGAGTTCTTAATATTGTGACTGGTGTTTTCGCTCGAAGGGGATACAACATTCAGGCATAGTCCTTATCTCTCTCATACGCGCGCACACACTTGGGGTTTAATGATACACTGAAAGATCTTCTTTTTCTTTAGAGCTTGGCTGTAGGACATGCTGAAACCAAGGGCATTTCACGCATTACAACAGTTGTACCTGCAACAGATGAATCGATCAGCAAATTGGTGCAGCAACTTTATAAACTCGTAGATGTGCATGAGGTGGGATTACCAAAAGCTACCGTCTTTCTTATATATTTAACAATTTGAATGTTTTTGATGGCCTTTTCTTTCCTTTGCTTATCTTAGACCTTTTGCCCTTTGTTTAAAACGTAGATTAGAGGAAGAGTTTTCTGCTAACTCTTTCTTGACTTTCCTATATCATTTCCTGGTCTTGTGTGTTTATTCGAATGAGACCTCTAGTTCCAAGAGTCAAACTGTACAGGCTTCATGAAAACAGTTCTGAGCATGATGTACCGCAACTTTCCACGCAGTTATTAACTTTGTGAGGATTTCTGCAGGTCCATGATCTTACGCATTTGCCATTTGCTGAAAGAGAACTGATGCTGATTAAGATTGCCGTGAATGCTGCTGCGAGAAGAGATGTCCTGGACATTGCTAGTATTTTCAGGGCTAAAGCTGTTGACGTATCAGATCACACAATTACTTTGCAGGTAAAATACATTTCTCATAAATTGGATTTTTATTGAGGTGTAATTGCATCTCAGTCTCAGATGAGAAATCCTTTCAATTGGAGATCTTCAAAGTTTCACGACTTTCTATAGGTCTTCAACTTGTTTGACATAATCAGAGTTCTATTTGCCAAAATATATGAAGCAGACTTGGTTTTCCATCTTAATCTCTTTTTGCTTTAGTGTTTTGGATTTTGTGCTGAAATTTGTTGGCTGTGGATATAGCTTACTGGGGATCTAGACAAGATGGTTGCACTGCAAAGGTTGTTGGAGCCCTATGGTATATGCGAGGTTTGTTTCGCAATCTACCTGTGAATTCTTATCATGCTACTCCAATTGTTCGGATAAAGTTCAAAGATCTAGTTGGTAGTGAAATCTAAGTCTCTGGTAAAATAAATAACCAAAGCTGGACCTAGTTTCATGATATGTAATTCTACGTCTTCTTCTGGTTGTGCTTATAACAAGAATAAGCTTGCCAAGCATTGCTACTTTTAAATTATGCATCGTGTTGATGTTAATAATGAAACTATCAATGACAGGTTGCAAGAACTGGACGTGTCGCATTGGCTCGTGAATCGGGAGTGGACTCCAAGTATCTTCGCGGATACTCCTTTCCTTTATCAGGTTAAACCGGTGCTGAGTGCATCCATAGAAACTTTTGAAGGTAAAAGTTTCATTACACATTTTATGAGCCAACTCAAAGACAGAGCCAGAGAGACTGCGTAGATATGTTTGTGACTTTGTTAGCTGATTTTGGACTTGTTGGCTTCATTTCAAATCCTTTCTTTTTAAGAAGAAAAAAAGTTAGGATTATTAAATCTTCGTTCGTATTTTTTTTTTTCTTCCAATAGTCTTCTCCCAAGATAAATAAATAGCAATTATTATATGTTATTTAGATCGCTAGAAGACTAAAGAGGGAACACAAATGGACTTTGTAAATGTTATAGAGTCACAAGTCAAACTAAGTAAGCGTTGACTGAGCCGGACGTTTACCTAAAAAATGTTTGTCCCTACTTATCTTCTAGAGAGATTCAATTCACTTACATGAATAACGTAACTTACTTTTCTCTTAAATGTGATTTTTGTTTATTTGAACTAAGAAAAACAATTCTTATATGTTTAAAATATTGTCGCTTCTTCTCTAATTTTATGGTACTAATGATACACACCATAACCTTGAAAAATGTGTTGGTATAGAACTTTATTCATGTCTTCTTTTTTGTTAAACTTTTATTCATGTCTTTCAAAAACTCACATGCACATCACACGTCTATAAGGATTTATTAACAGAAAGTAGGCATACCACTTATCAGATTTAGCAAGCAATTAAGCCAAAAGTAAATGTGGTAACTACTAATTTGTCTCATAATTATGCTTCCCAAGTCTCGTAAGTGATCACCCACATTTGGGTTCTCTTATAAAGGCATCCGCAGTAGCAAGCTGAAGGGTGTTAGAGGTAATAAAAAAAGAATAAAATTGTTTCTCTCCTCACATCCGGATGTAACTTTACACTCGGGTGTAACACACACTCTCCTTTTCTCTCTCTTTCTTTTTCTCTCTCTTTTCTATCTCTCTTTAAATTATAATAATAAAAAAAAGTTTACACCCACTTTCACACTTGCTCCACACTTGTTCGACTGCCCATGGTCTAACTAACTAGTCAAAATATTCTTCCACTTTCGTCCCAGTAAATACTACAATACATTTGCAAATACTACACAAAAGATCTAGTAACAATCCCTTTTGGGAAACTGTCACCATTGCACCTGGACGGGGACAACAATATCCTCAAATTCACATGTTTCGAAATCCTGGCTAAAGTAATTCAATATTTGTAAGTCCAAATAATGTCCATACGACTCATATCAATCTTAACCTTTTCAATAAATCTCACTTCTCTAAATATATACTTTCAAGTTTCAAAAATCTAACCATTTTTCGTGATTATTCTATTTTAAGTCGGAGAAGCTTTGGATCATTGGATGACATGTGATATCAAACCTTAGATTTGAAAAAATACACACTTTTGGAAAGGAAAAGTTGTTTTTTCGATATGCATATGTAAAAGAAAATTTTGATAAGTGCAATTATAAAGCACAAATTATTAATGAGCCGACCATGTGCTTTTTTTTTTGTTTACTCTTTTATTTTAGTTTGTCTGTAGTGACTACAAAATTATCGGGCACTATGAATGGATCGATCATTTTTTTTTTTTTTTGTCTGCCAATTGGATATTAGATAATATGAACATGATACATCGTTTTTTGTTACACATCAGAGGATATATGAAATTACATAAGGAGAGAAATTGATTCTAGCTTGTTTTGCCAGAAAATCAGCTTGGGTATTATCTTGACGCCCAATGTACTTAAACGTGTAAGTGCTACGAGCCAAGGCCATGATATCCTCTAAATATCCTTTAATAGCAACTGGTGGTCGTGGGAGATTGCTTCTAGAGTTGTTTGAGCTAGAATGGATCGATCATTTATATATGCTTTATCGGCGGAAGAAATAAATTAAGTATTTTATATTCTTCTGGTCTTCTAACATTCTATGCATGATGGATAATTCATTGAATTGTAACAATTTTAAACTACATCGTTAGTTAACTAACAAACTGATTAAAAAAAAGAATCCCTAACTAAGATGATACTGACTTTTAACAAAAACAAAAAATTGATACTGACTTGGACTTTTTACTAGAGGAAGTAAGTAAATATGACAAGTTGTATCGTCTTTGAAGTTTACCTTGTTTAGACTTTTAACTTGGATTAGGTGTGACATGGCACCATCCATCATCATTAGAGACCTCCATCAATTTCTTATCTTATTACAGTCCCAAACTAAAATATCTAACTTACAGAAGAAAAAAAACACTTTTCTAAGAGAAATTAATAAAACTTTACTTAATTAAAAAAAAAAGAATGCACTAACAAAACAAAAAAAAGAGTTTGTGGCTGCTGAAATTCTTCAAAGTGATGATGATGCTGATGTTCTTCTTCTGACATTCTTTCTCTCTCTCTCTCTCTTTTTTCGCAGCTTCTTCTTCATCTTCGGCTTAACAACAACAAAACTTCACACACGTGGTAAAAGGCTGAAGCTTTTTTCAAACCCTTGTTGAAATTCGAGTTCTTTTGGTGTTTCTCTTGGTCTTGTTGAGGTACTGAATCAGCTTCTTCTTCTCCGATCTTAATCGCTTCCAGGTTTCTTCACAGCTTGGGATGATTTGAAATGAAATCTGTTGTCTACTGACTACTCTCCAATTCATTTCCGGTAAAGTTGGGTTTTTTTCTTTTCTTCTTCTTGCTATACATGGACTCTTCGAGGTGATATCAACAAAAAAGCTCGTCTTTTTTTTTTTTCTCAAGATTTGTGTGTGATTAGAGATTAGGGTTTTCGTTAGATTTTGGGGATAACAGATCATCTGGGTTTAGGTATTTTTGTTGATAACGACGATAAATTGGAGTGTATTAATATGACTATAATGGAGGAGAAGCAGACCAGTCCTGTGGGAGAGAAGCAACAGAGCTTTAATGGTATAATAATAAACCAAACACAAGAGAATCAGACAAAATCAATGGAGAAACAACAGAGTTTCCCATGTGTGGTGGAGAATCAACCGAGAAAGGCGAGAGCTTTAGAGAAACAAGTGAGTTTCCAAGGTGTCAATGTAGAGAATTATCAGCAAAGCAGACTCGGAAGATCAATGGAGAAGCAACAGAGTTTTCGAGGTGTGAACGTTGAGAATCATAAACGCGGAGTTATGGAGAAGCTACCGAGTTTTGGTAAAGCAACAATGGAGAGGCAGAAGAGTTTCCGTGGTGGCTTTTTGGAGAAGCAGAAGAGCTTCCGTGTGGTGATGGAGAGGCAATTGAGTTTTATAGGTGAGAGGAGGAAGAAGAATGAATCACCAGGGAAAAGAGGAGACTCTTCTCTTCATATCGCTGCTCGTACCGGGAACTTAGGTAAGGTTAAAGAACTGATTCGAGGTTGTGGTGATGGCGGCGGAGATGAGTTGAAAGAGTTGTTGTCAAAGCAGAATCTTGAAGGAGAGACTCCTCTTTATACTGCAGCAGAGAATGGCCATTCAATTGTTGTTGAGGAGATGTTGAAGCATATGGACCTTGAAACTGCTTCCATCGCTGCTAGAAACGGGTTTGATCCATTTCATGTCGCAGCCAAACAAGGCCATCTCGGTATGAAGATTTTTACTATCTTCAAATCTTCTCCATTCTCAATGGATTGTTCTCTTACTTGGCTCATCTTCTTTTGCAGAGGTGTTGAAGATACTGTTGGAGACATTCCCTAATTTGGCAATGACAACGGATTTATCGTGTACAACTGCGTTACACACAGCTGCAACACAAGGACATATTGATGTGGTGAATCTTCTTTTGGAGACAGACTCTAATTTGGCTAAGATTGCTAAGAACAATGGTAAAACTGCGCTTCACTCTGCAGCAAGGATGGGTCATGTGGAAGTTGTTAAATCTCTGATAGGTAATGACCCAAGCATTGGATTTAGAACCGATAAAAAAGGGCAAACTGCTCTTCACATGGCTGTAAAAGGTCAAAATGATGGGATTGTTGTTGAGTTGGTGAAACCTGATGTTGCGGTTTTGAGTGTTGAGGATAATAAAGGAAATACGCCATTGCACATTGCCACAAACAAGGGGCGTATTAAGGTAATGGCTCTTTACGTTTCTCAAATATCAAAACTCGGTATTAGACAAGTCTAATAAAAGGCATTATTCATCATGGAATGATCCTTTTCTTAAGTTTCCAGTTGATGTTAGTTCTTATGTAAACTGTTAATTGACTTCTCTGCAGATAGTACGGTGTTTGGTATCTTTTGAAGGCATTAACCTCAACCCTATAAACAAAGTTGGAGATACGCCACTCGATATCGCTGAGAAGATAGGAAACGCAGAGCTTGTGTCAGTTCTGAACGAAGCAGGAGCCGCTACAGCTAAGGATCTCGGAAAGCCTCAGAACCCAGCTAAGCAACTGAAGCAAACAGTCAGCGACATCAAACATGAGGTACAATCTCAGCTTCAGCAATCCAGACAAACAGGTGTAAGAGTCCAGAAGATAGCAAAAAGACTCAAGAAGCTACACATAAGCGGTCTAAACAACGCTATAAACTCAGCAACTGTTGTGGCTGTGCTTATTGCCACAGTGGCTTTTGCAGCAATCTTCACAATACCCGGTCAGTACGAAGAGGACCGGTCGAAAGGAGACTTGCTAGGACAAGCTCATATAGCAAACAAAGCACCATTTCTGGTCTTCTTCATATTTGACAGCTTGGCACTGTTTATATCCTTAGCTGTTGTTGTGGTGCAGACTTCAGTTATTGTGATTGAGCAGAAGGCGAAGAAGAAGCTTGTGTTTGTGATTAACAAGCTCATGTGGTGTGCTTGTTTGTTCATATCCATTGCCTTTGTTTCTCTCTCTTATATTGTTGTTGGCAAAAAGGAGAGGTGGTTGGCTGTATGTGCGACTGTTATCGGCAGCACGATTATGTTGACTACGATAGGTGCAATGTGCTATTGTGTGGTCATGCATAGGATGGAGGAATCTAAATTGAGGAGCATAAGGAAAGAGAGAAGCAAGTCTCAGTCTTTCTCTATGTCTCGTATGCCGTCTGATTCAGAGATTTTAAATGGTGAATACAATAAGAGAATGTATGCCCTCTGATTTGTAGAGAATTTGGACCATGAGAGATCTCCGCAGAATGTAAGAATAACCAATATAAATATACTTGTATTTTGTACCTGTAAGCCATTGCTATTTGAGCTTCTCGACTAGAATAACAGATCTGTAATGAGAGAGAGAGAAGTTCACTGTACCCTGAAGAACAGTCTCAAAGCAATCTGCTCTTTTTCTAATATCCAATGAATCAAAGAATGAAAATGAAGAAACTATAAGTGGATGTAACCCGAATCTTAGTTGTGAATAAGATGTTTAATATCCTACTGGG